ATATAAGCTTTCCCACACCTCTCATAACAAGGTTATGAGGAAATTATTTACCAARGAATTTCTTATTTTCCATAAATATCTTGAATGTGCAAAGTGAATCAGACACACAATAAGTGGAACCACTCAGATGAGTTCAATTTGATCCATTAACAATATGCGATCGTTTATTTACATAAATTAAACAAATCATGGGTTAACAACTTAATTGTGGGTAATCAGCTTCCTATAACAAGTTTTAGAATGAATAAGATATAAATCCACATCCGAATTCAGTCAATATCAACTCCAAATACTTATGATGGAACAGTAAATCGTCAGTTCTGATATTGAATAAACCAAACATTTACTGTCATATTAAACTTAGATTCTGGCAAGGCAAAAAGTAACAAAAGGAGGAAAAAGTAAGGTTAGTATTTCTACTGTTTAATTTTACCAAGACAGTGTGAAAGCCAACCTAATATGCACTTCTTTCTTAACCCAGCTTCCGCCGGACACGTCACCATAAACACCTCAGCCTCTTTACCTTTGACGACTTCTTAGACATCCTCTGAGTAGCGAGACTGGTCCACCTCTGATCGGTCAGGAAGACTCGTTAAGTCCGCTCACCTCCATCGGTAAAACACGTGTTATTTCTCCGGTAACCTTCTGGGTCTGCCTCAGTCCCGGGAGAGAAAAAGATCAAGCTGTTCCAGTTTCTCCTTCAAAATAAAATCAATTCCACGAAGGAAGGGAAAAATCAAATAATTGCTTGGAGGTTAACAACCTCAAAGGGAATTCAACAGGTTTTGTCGAGTTCCTAGCTGTAAAGATCCACTCTTTAGATCTTGAGTCGGACCTTACAGCTCATAAGCTGAAATCTCCCGAAGGAGAAAAACAGCTCCTTCATTGTTGAGTCAGGAAGTCAGAGTCTACTCAAAGCTGTCTGGTTTAGTATAAGAACGGACAACTTTGGTTCCCGCCCCCAGGCCTCATGCAAGAGCATGTTCGTATTCTTATCCTAAATTTCTCTTACTTTTGTTCGTACGAAGGGTTCGTACGAACATGTCACGTCAGATTCAACAAACTCTTCTATCTTCAGGAAAAGTGTGTAAATGAGCTGCGTAAATTCCACCTGTTCTATCCAGCTGCTCGAGCATGCGAGAGGAGATTAGCATAATTACCACCCCAAAAACACCATATAAGGCTACGGCTGTGTCCAAATCGGCAGGACGGGTCCTCTGGAGGACCCAGACTCCCCGGTCTCGGCGGGCGGGGTCCTTGGTAGACCGGGAAGACCGGAAAAAAAGAGGCTGTGAATTTGGATGGTCTAGCCTCCCCTCCTTACCCTGGCGTACGTCTTGTCACCTAGCAACTGTGACGACGCTAAACAAGCWAACTTAAATCAAAACTAGAAAAATATCAATATGTTAGCATTATTAATATCACAAAACTATAAAATTAACTTAAAGGTATCGTTTGAAGAACTAACTGACCCGCTGTAGGTTCATGTTTATTTCGCGTTTTTTATGACGAAAAAATAACATGTAAAAACATGTCCATGCAAATGATAAAAGTATTAGAATTACAACCGCTAATTTTTTAAATTTTTATATCACCATATTTTTATTTAAAATGTATTCTTTTCTCTCGCTTCGTCCGCCATTACTAGCTYAAAAAAATCTCGGGTCGGGCCGCAATGCATTATGGGATACGCTGGGCCGGGAAGGATCCATCAGACCAGTCCTTCAAATCGAGGAAAAGGAAGGACGTATTTGTCGGCTGCATCGGAGGAGTCTTTGGTTTTGGACGTCCTTTGTCGCGGCGCTGTGACGTATGCGGCCAACGAATTCGACCTTCGGAGGACCCGTCCTGCCGTTTTGGACACAGCCTACGTTTCCTGCCTCAGATATCAGGAAGTGTCCATTCATGAAAATGACAACGAAAATTAAAAAGAAGAATTTTACGAGTTCAGAGATTGAAATCCGTCTGTCAGAGATCCAGAAAAGTAAATCTGTCATTTTTTTTGCAATGTCAGCTGTGGAATAAAATGAGCTGCTAAAAGTATAAACAACTGTGTTAAGTCATCTTCATTTATTCTGAAGCCACACCGTTGCGCTCTGTACCCCCCCCTCCCCCGGGCGCCGTCACAAGTGGTCTCAGTTGCAGTTCTTAAATAAGCATTTTAAAATGTTTTCAAAATATGTCTGGCACTTTGGAGAAAATCCAGGAGTTGCTGGAGGGATTATGTATCCCCTCTGGCCTGGGAACGTCTCGGAGTCCCCCTGGACAAGCTGGAAAGTGTCGCTGGGGAGAGGGATGTCTGGGTCTCTCTGCTGCTGCCCCCGCGACCCGATCCCTGATAAGCGGCAGAAAATGAATGGATGGACAATTTATATTGTAACTCTAATTCAAACAGAATAACCTATTGTCAAAAATAATCATTTAGTGTAAATTATTTTCAACTCAAAATATCTTCAAACTATCGAAATATAAAGTTATTAGTGAGGAAAATCTGTCTGGATAACAACAGACTGACTGCTCCTAAAATATACGACAGGTCTGGACCACTCGTGAATTTTGTTCATATCTGAAAAAAATCTTAGAATACGAAAACATAGGTAAATGCCACAAATTCTCCTAAATCACCCGTACACTCAACTTAAGAAGAAATCTGTGCGTACGAACAGTTCTTGCATGAGGCCCATTGTCTTGTTGGAAGATCCAGCCCCGTCGCAGCTTCAGCTTTGTCACTGATTCCTGGACATTTGTCTCCAGTATCTGCTGATATTAGTTGGAATCCATGCATCCGTCAACCTTAACAACATTCCCAGTCCCTGTACTGGCCACACAGCCCCACAGCTTGATGGTACCACCACCAAATTTCACTGTTGGTAGCAGGTGTTTTTCTTGGAGTGCTGTATTATTTTTTCCTCTATGCATAACAGCCTTTGTTATGCCTAAATAACTATTTTAGATTCATCAGTCCACAGGACCTTATTC